TCCCCCTCCCTTTTAGGTTGTGAGCCGCCCTGAGTCCCCCCAGGGAAAAGGGCAGCATACAAATAAATTTCTACATTCTACATTTTTGCTGATGACACAAATGTGTGTAATAGAGTTGACATTCCTGGAGGTATTCCTATCATGGAAAACAATTTTGCATTGCTTGAAAATTGGTTAGAAAATGTGGAGACTGCAGCTCATTGTTTCTAAATGTAAGATCATGCTCTTGGTGAAAAAGAATCCTTTGGTAAGGTACAGTATTGGGGATGCAGTGTTAGACAGAACAACAGAAGAAAATAATATAGATATATTTATAGAGATGACTGCAAAATGTGTAAACATTATGGACAGGCAGCTGTGAAGGCAAACAAAACTCTGGGATACATCACTAGAGGAAATACCAGCAAGAAAAATGAGACTTTTAATCTTGCTATAAAGGGCTTTAGTTAGACCCCATTTGGAATACTGTGTCCAGTTCTGGATACCTTACTTTAAAAAAGATATTTATAAGATTGAGCAAGTCCAGAGATAGGCAACAAAATGGAACAAGGTCTGCGTATCAGGAAAGATGGAGGAACTGAGCCTGGAGAACAGAAAGGAAAAGTGGGGCATGATTTAATTCTTCAAATATATCAAGGGTGTGAATAAGATTCTAGAAGGCAGTTTTTTTTTCCAATATTAAGCAAAAATTAAGAACATGGGAGCATAACCTCAAATCATCCGAAGGGAAGTTCAAAAGTAATGTTAGAAAGAATAGTGGAAACTTGGAATCTATTTCCAGAGGAGGTAGTGAATTAATCATCAGTAACTGAATTTAAACATGCTTGGGATAAACACGTGTCCATCATCTGACAATAATTAAAAATTTAAATTAAAAAAATTAAATTAAAAAAATAAATACATTAAAAAGAAAAGAAAAACAAATTCAATAGATCACTTTTCTGCTGTCAGTTTTCTATGTTTCTAGAGCTTTTTAAAATTCTTTTTTTTCTTTAACATGACCCAATCAACATCTTTGATCAATGTACACGAGTAAAACAATACATATTACTTATATGCTTCATTACCTCACAGATGTCTTTTAGGTGTTTGATGTAATCCCTTTCTGTGCTTAGAATTTCATTAATAACATTGGTTCTCATTTGATCCTTTGTTGTATGCCCCATTCCATAGCGATGAGCAGCATTTCTTCCATCTTTTTCCTGACCGTCTTCTAACTTCAGAGGATAGTCTTCAATTGGTTCATCCTGGTTCACTCGGAGCTGTATCACATATGCAGTATTATCTTAACATTATTTAACTACTGAGAGGGAGGCAGAGTTTGGGCATCCATGAGAAAATATCAAGCCTGTGAGATGTATTCTGTCTAGTGAGAATTTGAAAAGCCTCGACTCAAGGTATAGACCTTAAAATCACTAATTAATCTCTGTTCCATCTCATCTAGAAATTCATTTGTCTGTTTTTCTATTATTACATCCATTTCAGCAGTAATATCTTTGCTTCCTTTCTGGAACCAAGAAAGTACTCTGACCAATCTTTCTCCAATATCTCTAGTATTGCTGCATTCTATTATTTTTTCAAGGACAACAAACTCTTTTAAGCATCATAGAAGCACCAGTGTCAGAGGTAACTGTAATGAGCCATAGCCATATCACAGATGTGAAGAAGAAAGAAACTTTTAATAATAAAGAGATGCAGATCCTATCTTAATAAAGGATATGGTTTCACAAGGAAAGGTTCTATGTTCCAGAACTCAAGGATTGGAGCTGGCTATGCAGGATTCTATGCAGGATTCTTAGAGGAAACAAAAAAATATCTCTATAATTATACACTTTTGTGTATAATTGCCAGTCCTAAGCCTGGAAGAATTTGCCCATCATTACTTTCCATCCATGTAGTGTTCCACATCATAAATTCAATTTTAAAAATAGCAAAGCATGTTGGATGTTCTGGAAACTGATATCCAATATATCAAGAATATGTTTTGAGAAGAAAATGATATTAAAAATTGCATAGCTCAGATTCTCTTATTGTATCCCTGTACTTCAGCTGCTCCTGAATGTCCGATGTAATACCACAATTTATTCTATTAAAGATTAAGTATTTGTTGATGGTAAATTAGGTAATTGGCCAATAGGATCATTGATCAATGTTTTATCTTAGAAAATAACTTTATCCCCAGTATCCATTAGAAGTATTTATCTTTACTAATGTGGATTTAGAGCAAATGACAACATATTATATGAGTAATTTAAGACAGCTATATAACATACTGTATATTCTTCAACTGTGCATTTTCATCCTAAAATATTTTTTTATTTTACTCATACATCAAGTATTTATAACTTTTCCTCTTCCACTCAAACTAAGCACCATAGAAGGGAACATGAATGACATCATTAACAATCTTGGACTGCTTCCCCAGAGATATGGTGTTGAACTCATGGGAAGTGATAGTTCTTCTAAGACCAATACAATTGCCAACATTTTTTGTGTTTCTGAATAAATATGGGAAGTATACAAAACATCCAATAATAATCCAAAAATAGGTTTACACAGTTTAAAAAGAAAGACAGATAACTACAAATTATTGTTGTATGAGAAATATATTAAAATCAGCAAAATGCACACCACGAAGCATTCAAGTTATCTTCTTTCAGTTCATTGGGTCACATGGGTTCTTACCCGTATGAAGCTAGCTGGGAACCAGCCTTCGTTCTCCATTATCCTGCCCCACCACCATTCTTTGTTAGTAGCATCCATGACTTCAACAACATCGCCAGCCTTGAAACCTAGTTCTTGGTCATCCATAGTGACATGATCCCAGAGTGCTTCTGCATAGACCACACCACCATCACTGATAAGCTGAAACAGAGAACACAAACATTTTCACAAAGTCACGTTGGAGAGATGAACCAGTTTGCTGGGGAGGGAAAGGGCGAAAAGGGGGAGGGGGTGTTTTTGCCCTACCTCTCCAGTAGGCTTTAATGGAGATGTTGTCACTGATCTAAGAAACAACAAAATTATGGCTTTGCTGAAATAGGTGCTCTTAGGTTTCTTTTTCCTCTCTTTTCTGTCAAACCAGGAACCTAAAGTTTGCTAACGATTACAAACCGATTAGCAACTACTTAGTTTTATAATGTCAAGCTTGAGGAAGGGCACAATTTGCTTTGTTGTTAAAACTTGCATCCATTGTGTTCAAACTACTTTTTCCCCCTGTTCAGTCATGTCCAATTCTCGGAGACTGCCTGGTCAAGTCCCTGCAGTTTTCTTGGCAAGGTTCTTCAGAAGTGATTTGCCATTGCTGCCTTCACAGGGATGAAAAGTGACTGGCCCAAGGTCACCTAGCTGTACAAGACTAGAATTCACAATCACACACCTCGTAACGTATAGTATCTGGTCTCATTCTTAAGATTTCATCCTCTACAGCTTCACATATATTACAATTTCATCAATATAAGATCACAGATTCCCCTCCTTGAACAATATGCAGCTTAAAAACCAGAAACAGTAATGTCTTTGCATTTAAAATACTAAAGGTCATTGTGATAAATAAAATAATAACCACTACACATGCTAAATGCTTGTCAACATCCGGGACTCTCATAATTTCCTGGGGTTATAGAAGCTGAGGAATGCTGGATGGTTGTTCACATGTATTTTGGAGCTTTATGCTGGACTAAAATTAACCCCAAATTCTTGTGTCAAAAGTTTCATCACATTTACATTTTTGTTCAGGTTGAGTGGCCCAGTTGGCAAAGAACACTTGAATAATCAGTCTTTGTGACTGTCGGTGTGCTCTTGCGAATAATTGAATTAAGAAGGGATGGAAACTCGTCTCTCCTAAAGAGATTTGTACTGAATTGCTAATTAAGAGTCTTAGTCCTGTGCCATATAAACCATAAGTCTGTAAGTATGCAAGAGTAAACATTTTTCAAGTTTTGGGAAAGACTTAGTGCTAAACAGACTTCATTGCTGCTTGCATTTTTCCAATCATCAATCAGCTGAAATGAGGAGGGAAAATCTAGACTGAAGTCAGAAATCTGAGTTGCCATGATATATTCTCTTTCCGGAGAAAATAAATATTTGAAATTTATATATAATAGGTAAATCTAATTAATCCAATGAGGATTTTCCCCTCAAAGAAGCTCATATCAATGCAACTCTGATGATGATGATGATTACATAGCCTTTCTAAAAATAGCATTTTCTATTTCATTGATCCACATTTGGGGATTCGCTACAGAAAACACTCTTTCCCCCCTCCCTCCCTCCCCACTCTCTCCTTGCACTTGGGTATCCATTCATGCCGAGAGTATTTCTAGAAAAGAATCAGTGCTTTAAAAATAATCTTATAAACATATTACATGTTTCTATTGTTTACTATGGTAAAACTATTTCAATTTATTATTCTTAAAGCAGTTTGTTTATGTGCTGAAGCTGCCAAAAAAGCCAACACAGTCCTAGATTGCATTAACAGAGGGATAGAATCAAGATTACATGAAGTGTTAATACCACTTTATAAAGCCTTGGTAAGATCACACTTGGAACATTGCACCCAGTTTCGGTTGCCACGATACAAAAAAGATATTGGACTCTAGAAAAAGTGAAGAGCAACAAAGATGATCAGGCACCTGGAGGCTAATACATACAAAGAATGGTTGCAGGAATTGGGTATGCCTAGTTTAATGAAAAGAAGGAGTAGGATAACATGATAACAGTTTTCCAATATCTAAGTGGCTGCCAAAAAGAAGAGAGGATAAACTATTCTCCAAAGCACCTGAAGGCAGGACAAGAAGTAATGGAAGAAAACTAATCAAGGAGAGAAGCAATATAGAACTAAGGAGAAATTAGAACAAATAATCAGTGGAATAACTTGCCTTCAGAAGTGGGTGCTTCAACACTGGGGTTTTTTAAGAAGAGATTGGGCAACTATTTGTCTGAAATGGTACATAGGGCTTCCTGCTTGAGCAGGGGGTTGGACTAGAAGATCTCCCAAATCCCTTCCAACTGTTATTATCACATTTTTTTTGAAAAGTATAATTGTTTCCGGGTGTAGGATCCTCACTGCAGCTCTATTTCACCTTACCCATCTTTGTTTCCTCAGGCTACCTTACAACTTTCTCCACCCATTACTTTCTGCTATACTCTTGGTTCTTTGCTCTTTGGAGGGTTACTTTCCTGCTTCCCAATGCATCACTATATACTTCCAGTTTTCTCGCTGCTACCTTCCCTTCAGATTAGCTTGAAATATTTCAAAATGATGCATTAGTTTGCACCCACATTTTTTAATGAAAGTCTTTGCTTCCCGTGGCAGTTGGTTGTAGACTAATTCTTTCCTTTGTAGTAGTTTTTGGGGGTGGGGGGTAGGATTATATTCACATATAGAATGGAATTTATCACAGGTATTAAGGCCCTTTGTCAGCAGAGTTAAAAGTCCCTGAAAATGTTAAGTTGTTTCTCCCTAATCATATTCCCCATTCATTTTGATCCCCAAGCAGGTCATAAAGGCTATTTATACCTATTCACTCCTGGCTCTTGCTTATACTACCAAAAAAGCTTATTCCAGAACTAAGTTCTTAATAGCTTCTAGCATGGATTGGTCTGTTCTCTAGGAGCCTTAGTGCATCCATAGAAAATAGCTAACAATTTAATAAACTCACAATTACATTTTGTGAAGATATCCAAGGAAACAGTCCTTTTTTATTTCTTGCAGGAAGATAATCTAGATTGCTTTTTCTATTGCCAAGGTATCAATTAAATGTATTTAGTAGCTAGCATTGTGTACTCAAAAATAAAACCAACTTCCTTTGCCCTCCCAGCTTTTTTTGCTATGCCACCCCTGCTGTAACTTGCAATATCAGGGATCCTGAATTTTTTTATTTTCTTCTGATCTGTAACAAGACTTCACACTGAGCTCAGAAAGCACTTTAAATGACTCACTAAGTCTTAGCAGAGTCAAATTAATTTGTTTTTAAAAGACAAAGATTTTTAGGCAAGGAATCCTTCTTACATCTGCAGATGTAGGTGGTATTAGAAAATGAAGAAGAAAAGTGATGGTGCAATTTGTCACAGGATCAGGAAGCCTGTCAGGTTCACACGGAAGGTGAAAAAACAATATGGCTCTTGGATATGGTGGTTTATGTATTAGCATACAATCCAAATGGTGATACAGCTGGAACCCAGAAAAATATACAAACAAAACTACAGTTCTTTCTATTTCAAGCTGGAAGGGTATTTATTCTAGATCTGGTGCTGTATTGTGATTGAGCGGTAAAACGTGAAGTCCCCAGTTTGAAGCACAACCATAAAAATTTCCACAAGCATATAACAATTTCTCAGTGATATAACAACATTGATCTATCTTACAAGGATATGAAATTATCAAGATCTACTATGTGTACCATTTAGAAAGATATGTACCTACCTATAGCCTATAGCCTGCTACATTACTGGAAAAGTTGTACCAAGTGGTACTGATGAAGTTCACCACTAGATAAAACCAATGTAGTTCTTGATTAACAATCTTGTGCATATTACTACTGCTGTTTATAGCCCTTGGAAGTATTGTACAGTTGCAAGAAAAAGTATGTGAACTCCTTGGGATTACGTGGAGTTTTGCATGAATTGGTCATAAAATGTGCTGTGAACTTCATCTAAGTCACAACAATAGAAAAACACAGTCTGCTGAACATAATACTACACAAACATTAGATGTTGCCATGGTTTAATTGCACATAACATGTAAACATTCACAGTGCAGGGAGGAAAAAGTATGTGAACCCTTGGACTTAATAACTGGTTGACCCTCCTTTGGCAGCAATAATCTCAACCAAACGTTTCTTGTAGTTGCAGATCAGACCTGCACAATGATCTGGAGTAATTGTGGATCACTCCTCTTCACAAAACTGTTTCAGTGTAGCAATATTCTTGGGATGTCTGGTGTGAATCGCTCTCTTAAGGTCATGCCACAGCATTTCAATCGGGTTGAGGTCATGACTCTGACTGGGCCACTCCAGTATTCTGTGCTGTTGAAGCCATTTTTGTGTTGACTTACTTGTATGCTTTGGGTCATTGTCCTGTTGCATCACTCATCCCCTGCGGAGCTTCAGTTGGCAGACAGATGGTTGTACGTTTTCCTGCAAAATGTCTTGATAAACCCTGGAATTCATTTTCCCATCAATGACAACAATCCGTCCAGGCCCTGAGGCAGCAAAGCAGCCCCAAACCATGATGCTCCCTCTGCCATGTTTTACAGTGGGGATAAGGTTTTGATGTTGGTGTGCTGTGCCTTTTTTTCTCCACACATAGTATTGTGTGTTTTTCCCAAACAGCTCAATTTTGGTTTCATCTGTCCACAGTATATTTTGCCAGTAGTGCTGTGGAACATCCAGGTGCTCTTTTGCAAACTTCAAACGTGCTGCAATATTTTTTTGGGGACAGCAATGGCTTCCTCCGTGGTGTCCTCCCGTGTACTCCATTCTTGTTTAATGTTTTCCTTATTGTAGATGTGTCAACAAAAATGTTAGCATGTACCAGAGATTTCTATAGGTCTTTTAACTGACACTCTAGGATTCTTTTTTACCTCATGAAGCATTCTGCACTGTGCTCTTGCAGTCATTTTTACAGGACGACCACACCTAGGGATAGTAGCAAGAGTGCTAAACTTTCTCCATTTATAGACAGTCTGTCTTACCGTGGACACATGAATATCAAGGCTTTTGGAGATACTTTTGTAACCCTTTCCAGCTTCATGCAAGTCAACAATTCTTGACCGTAGGTCTTCTGAGAGCTCTTTTGTGCAAGGCATGGTTCACATCAGACAGTGCTTCTTGAAACCAGTAAACCCACAACAGATGGGTATT